GAAAGGAATATTGCGACTGAGTGGCGCTCCAGATATTGATCTTATGAATTCTCATACTCGTAAGCCCCTAGCTTTATCTACGATAGCCGGTAAACACGGTATCAGCACTGTTTGTGATGAATTAGGTTTTGTGGACTTGTCACGACGAAAAGAAATTTCCGCGAAGACGACTAAGGTTCTTCGGACTGTGCGTACTGAACTCTGTAACATAGATAATTTGGAAGAAAGCTCGAAGGTGGCCTCGGACGGTCAGTGTATCACCATATTCAGAGTTCAGTATTAGGGAATTACGAGGTCTTGACAAGGCAATGCTAACAAAGCGGGGAGAACTCATCAATAATATAGCCAAGCTATCCAAACTCGACAAGCATATAGCTTATGAGAAAACAAAACTTGAACAGGCCGGTGATGAATTCAGCAGACGTCGCGTTGCAGAAAGATTGCGTAACTCAGAAGACGAAAGATCGGCCCGGCTCGAGGCTGCTTCGAGGCTGCTTCGTTCACAAATCAGTCGAATTCAAGAAACTATCGATCAAGTCCTCAACGATGACACTACACTGGCCGATAAAATTAAAACATTGTTCAGAGAAGAGGGGATAACCATTGCCAGTATTTTAACCGCGTTGGGATTTATTATATCGACTTTGACTCTCGCGTTTACCGGTGGCAGTGGACAACCCACACCTCCGACACACCCTAGTGATAGGGGTGGCATAAAAGAGTGGATAAAAAAGCATTTAAAAGCATTAGGTTCAGCACTGGGAAAGCTCGCTTGGAAAGCTGCGTCTGCACTTCCCGGTATAATAGGGAATATAGTTTCCTGGCTCTTGAATTTATTAGCTAAGACCACCACTTGGCTTAGTCAAAACTTGTGGGCACTGATCGTAGCAATTGCAGGGCTGTTGTACGTATCCGCTAAGAACTATTTAACCAAATCATGAGTAAACCAGCCGCAACTCCACCTACTTCAAGCGCTGTTTTTTACATCGATATGTTGTTGATTTTTAGCCGCAATATGCGGTGGCACTTGTGGTTGTGCGTAAGTAGATGTGTTAGTAGATATCTGTGGCTTGACTATTCCCGTTTCGCCTGTGTTTGTTTGCGTTATTAATTCGGTGTTAATATCTGAATTTATACCTGGTTTTTGTTGATAGGTAGCAATAACAATTTTATTATTATAGCCTATCACTTGACTGATCTTAAGTTCCATATTACTCGGAGACATGTATAGTCCCGGCGCATAAACGTAGTCCACTTTGGATTGAGCGTACTGTAATACATCTTGATAACGCTTTATAGAAGATGGTATGTCAACTGGTGAATTAATAGCATCCTCAACATTTGCGACAAACTGTTTTTGCACATCGAGTGCTATCCCAGAACCGATTATTCCCGTAAGTGTTTATGATTGTGCACCAAGAATTGCCCATACATAAGTTCTTATTGATTCATTAACTCTTACAACTCCTGGGTTAGTAAAATATTTTTCTGTTTTATCATTAAGAAATTCATTCCAAGCGTTTGCGGTATCATTCAGTTGTACAAATTTTGTAACAATATAAGCCAAACCACCCTTAAAACCCATAAGATCTCCTCTCCAATTGTTACTCGAAAGCTCCCAGCCCTGAATAAGATTATGCAATCTTACAAAAAGATTGTTTTTCTGTAACAACTTAAAGGGATCGAATGGTTAATGAGTTTTTTTAACTAAATCATCGCTTTCTTCTTTAACAGTTCTTTTTCCGCTGTACGGAACACCTAGACCATGGTTAATTCCTTTAATACGCCAATCTTTACTCGTAGAAATATTAAATTCCTGACAAATACGTTCATACGCGAACCTATTGTACGGATTATTTGATGCATTCCATGCTCGATCCTGCGGTAATGGGGCACTCATTTTTTTTAAGTATACGTCTAATCTGATAATACACGTGACAATAAAACAGACTTATTTAGTTCAAATCCTGGGGCATAAAGAGATACACCACATCCTGTTGTGGCACACAATATGGCAAAGTTTAACTGATTCTGCCAAAATTGCATCGGATTGTGAAACCAATCGTGCACCATTTTATCGCTAGTTGATGGGTATTAAAGCGTATGCTCCTTCAATGATGAATTTTTTAAACCTTTGGGAGTTAGTCTCAAACAAAATGAGTCGAATGGGATGCTGATTTTGAACTGTGGAGAAAAGGAAATAATTCTTCTCTCATACTTAGAAGTTACACTTGGATTTAATCTTAAAACGGGAATAATGCGATCCAACCAAACACAGCATGGAGATAAATTACCCGATTTAGTTCCCTATATAAAGAGTTGTGCATCCATCTTGATCAGATGAGTACAACGGATAATATTCAACTCGAAAGTCCTTCAACTCTACTCAGATCTATTCCAGTCAAAGATGAAAAATACAATAGTGGTAGAATGGAATCTTTCTCATCATTACAATATAAAAAATTAAAGCATGGTATTATTTCAGATCTCAAAATTTCTGTATTAGATGTAAAATACCAACCTGTACATATAGGATACTTGAGTGTAAGACTCCATATTATAAATAATGGTTGATTCATCAGGCCCTGGAACGCTCAGACAATGTTATACAATTGCGCTTTCCGATCTCGGAGACACAGAAGGATTCGGTAAACCCGGTACCGATGGTAAGTTATACGCTTTACACTTACAAGATAATGTATACAAGCGGAAAGAAGTTACATTCACAGGTAATCTAGGAGATTTAAGCGATGTCGACATTAGTAGACTCCATAAAAACACCTCGTATAATCTTACTCACAACGATGATAATAAATGGACTATGGTTGAAGCAAACATCGAGTGGCTACTGAATATCGTCATTACCCCACCGTATGTGATGATGGGTAAAGCACATAATATAACTTAGATAATAAATAGTGGCATCGTACTCGCGGCTTATATCCCATAAAAACGAAAAATGATATTAAACAGAACTTGAGTGCAATACCTAATATTTCTATGCTTATTATTGAAGTCTTGTTCGGAGATGCACCGGAAATATTCGAAATATTACCTGGTCTAGCGATTAAATGGCTCAAGAAACACGAGAGTCGACGTTGCAGTATTATTCATATTGGAGCATCACCCGTTGCAACCCTTGAGGGGGTCCAAATTATTAAAAGTGACAGTATTTCTCTTACTAAGATATTCTTGCCGTAAAATATACATTTGATAAGGTTGATGTATACTCTCAAAACATTTAAGGAAGACCAATTAAAGACTATTATATGACCGTAATATACACTATGAGTTTATATCCGGCGATCGATGAAAAGATGGATGCTGTTGATGGATTTCGATTACATCAAAAAAGCGACAAAAAACATCGAATAGAGAAGGAGAGGGAGTTAAGACTTGGATTGTATAAAAAGTATCGCAGAGCCGTGAATTCTCTGGACGGAGTTGACTCTGCACTTGTGACAGCTGGCATGGGACTCGGTGTAGCCGGTGTCAGTTTACTATTAACTATAATCGCCGCGCCTATCGTGATTGGCATGGAAATAGCGGCTGGAGTCTCAGGACTGGCAGGAATAATGATAAAATTTATTTCTCGTAAGTTGCAAAAGAAAGCATTAAAACATGATAATATTTGGATACTCGCCGAGGCAAAGTTGAACAGCATTGAGGATCATATTTCAACAGCAATGGCTAATTGTAAGATAGCCGAGGAGGAGTTTCGTTTAGTGCTGTCGGAACTCGCCAAATACAACGTAATGAAGCAGGAGATTCGATCCAATTCTTGTTAGACCAGTGGTATTAGCGAAGACGATAAAAAAAGTTCATAGAACAGGGGAGACAACAAGCACGTCAATTATTCCGTGCCAAAACCAAAGAACTGGTTGGAAATTAAAAATAGATTGCTTCCTATCATTAGATCACATTTAGAAGAATGCTTACATAAGTATATAATAATGGAAAATTACAAACCAACAAAGGAAGAACTCGAAAAGGCTATCAAAGCATTTATGCTCAGGGACAAAATTATCAAATGGAGAGAATTACCACAAGGTATATATTATATCATTGATATCAAACCAACCATATACGGTCATCAATTGTTTCTTTCCAATTACCAAGAAGAGTATATAGTCTGGTCTCCTAGTAAAATGAAAGAAGAACTTAGTAAAAATGTTGAATATCACTTTGTTAAAAATAATGGTATACGTATTAGTAAAAATAATAGAGAATATTTTCATTACAATTTAGTTTAATCTTATGACTATCTTTGAATCGCATCATCATTTTTGCATAAAAAATTCCATCTGTAGTGGTGGTATAGGTATATAAATCTGGCTCCAGTGGAAGTGGTCCAGAACCCCATTACCTATAAAAATGTATATCATAGAAGCATTGATTGACTCCAGGTGGTGGTGAGCTAGAGTCAATTTAGTTTAATCTCATGACTATTGTTGAATCGCATCATCATTTTTGCATGAAAAATTCCCCCTGTAGTGGTGGTATAGGTATATAAATCTGGCTCCAGTGGAAGTGGTCCAGAACCCCCATTACCTATACTACTTACCAGTGATCAAACTGCGTCTGATGTCTACTGTCCTGTAAACAGTATAGAACTCCACTATCGACTGCAACATCGTCTACACCGGCATTACCATGGATATGGCTGCAATCACGTGTGCAAAATGGCCATTTGACATTTTGTCACATTTCTTTTTATCATGAAAATTGTTTCGAGAGTATATCACTTCAAATGTTTTTGGGTATAATCATAATCAAACCTTATTCAGAATAACCTAGCAGTTAAATTTATGTCATCTCCCTATGATTGCAAAACAAAATGTAAAACGTTCAATTTACTTATGACTAGTCAAAGTAAATTTGTTTTCAAGACACTGTCGTAATACTATTTTTGTGTTTTACCAGTATTATTTGAGCCATCTTGTCTTCCAAGAGAGGCAAACAAACCAGCCCTTGCTCAATCTCTGTATTCTCTGTTGCAGAACCCTGACTGGGAGCCGCCTGCAGCTGATGCATAGACACATTTTGGCTTGGATGGTTGAGCGTGTGGTGTGGCCACGTGGATCGACGTACAATGGTATAGCCTTTAATTGTATGCGGGTTATGTTTGAAGGAGGTGTGGGAAAGCCACTGTTGTATATATGAGAGGCTTGGAAGGTAATGTTTAGTGGCAATGTCGTTATCTGTTTATCTAAAGATTCCAACAAGTAGAAGTGTATTCACCTTCTGCGATGCTCCAGATGAATGGATGTGAGCACAAACATGCCAGAGGAGATGCTGATTTGACGATTGTGCAGACAGCAGCCGTGGGTGCGAAAGATCAGATAATAATTGTCACTGGAGATGACACTGACTTGCTGTAGCTTTTATGTTGCAATGCAGTTACAGAATTGCATGAATTATACTTCATGTCTGAGCAAAAGCTGAATACGAAGAAGAAAAGAAAATTTGGAAAGTTAAAGAGATAAAAAAAATCCAAGGCACAGACATGTGGCAGACAGTCGTGTGTTCGGTGCTGGCTAAGGAGTGTCTCTTAGTAAAGCTTTCATCATGTGTTATGGTAGACATATGGAGGATATTTCCAGATTTGTCACATCAGTGACAAGAACGATGTAATTCCCTATTTTGACTTGTACCATTTGTTCCCGTGTTTTTTTCAGGTGAACAATTGACTTGCCCTTGCATGTGCTTGTGACGGGTGCCACCAGTGGGGCAAGATACGCTCACCTTTTCGCGAAAGCCAGGTATCATCACTATTTCATAGTGATTCATAAACACATGCTCATGATATAGTCGGAATCGTACAATCGAAGATATTTTGGCAGATATTTCTTATTAGTATGGAATGGGTTTTGTCGCTTTTATTTCAAAGAAGTTGAAATTAGATGTACATTTAAAATTACAAGCTGACATCTTCATCAGGTGTTCAAAAAGAAGAAGATGCGACTGTAGCTGGAGGGCAAGCCATGGTTAGTTTGTACAGTGGTCAGGCAGGTACTAGTTTGGATACGTTGCGCCATCTTCGGTTTCGTGAGAAGGTTTCCTCGAGCACTGCATTTGTGCAGCTTCATAACCTCCCACCAACTTCAGCAGCAGCTAAGCAGCGCTATCTGCATGTGTACTTCCTTGTAGAAGAATGGAAGGGCGAAAAAACATCTGATATGTTTCCACAGAAATGGGGGTGGGAACTCAATCTCTAATCCCGGTACACACGCACTTGCCACCAGCCCACCGCCACTGCTTCGTGCATCTTGTGCAACTCAGCTGCATAAAGCATCCTCCTCGCCATATTGAAAAAACAACAACTTTATGTACAAATATTTATTGTATTTGTATTATCTGACTGATCTGGTCAAATGATATCAGAAAATAAATGGTTCAGAGATTAAATCACCCTTTTCAATGAAAGTACACAGTACGCAAAATTGAAATATGTTGACAAAAATCAAAACGTGAATTTATGAATTTCCGTCATTTATAGTTCAATTACTTTTGAGGTATTGAAAATTACCCCCACTGGAATGCTAAGGACATGAGTTGGATGTTATTGCACTTTGTTTAAGGTCGACCCATATAACTGTAACGGAGTGGTTTAGGTGAATGAATCACTAAACGCAGGTTGATTTGTGGATGCCAGTTGTTTAATACATAAACAGAGGCCCTGTGAAAATCAATACACAGAGTTATAATATGCACAATACCTACACATACAAATAAATCATTACATTATAACTTATTAACAAATATTAGAATCTTATATATGATCATATACATTGTTATGATCCACCGTAATTAGCATGATTAGTTTTATCTTACTGTACTCATAGATTTATCATATAATAAATTGACAAACATAGTTTATCAATAATGGGAGAATGATGATAAATGTATTAATACAGAACACCATTTCAGTACATATCACCATAAATACATACAAAATATAAATGTCCTCACCAGTTGTATGGCACTGTGCCCTATGATGTCACAACATCAAACATAATTTGCTTTACCGGGACACACCTGAACATAAATATATATATATAACATAATTACAGTGTAACATATTACATCAATATGTTTACATCCTTAGGTATATACAATAACCCTAAAATATATATTCTAATCACTCACCTCATCATACAGACATACATTCATACATGTGCAGTTAGGTGCAGATCTTTAATTTACAAGTAAATAGCTCCAGTCTATCAATAAATGTACTCATTATGCTTAGTTACACAATAAGTTAAGTAATATCAACATGGAAATGCTAGTTAAGATTATCTTTTATAAACATACTTACATACTTAAAGTATTTAAGCAAATTTAGCCTAACTACATTTACCTGAATACGATGACTGATATGATATATATTTATCACACCTAACAATATAAGTATTATTAAAAGAAGTTAAGAAACCATACATATGCACCTTAACAAACCCTTCAAAGCACTAAATAAGAACACATAAATATACAATTCAAACAAACTAACCTGTGACAAGTGACTGAATTATTTCAGCGATGAACCGACAACTTGTCTCCATACATAGTCAAATACAAGTGTGAATTTAAACTGACCAGTCCCATAATGCACCCTGTCACTGAAAGTAAGGGGCTGGGGCTAGACAATAGAGACCAGAGAAACAATAGAGAAGGCAAGCGCAAGGGTGACTGTGCTTTTGTTTTAGTGAAGCAGGTTAGATTGGAGGGTAGACTAAAACTTAGGTATTAAAATAAAAGGTGACCTTAAAATACACTTGATGAAATGTACATAATTACATACTACTACATAACCATAGTATAGTACTCGTAAGTACTTCTTTCCGGACCCGTGAAGATCCGTGGTAGAATATGTCTTCAGCAACCCATGCTTGCCGTAAAAGGCGAATATGCGTGTCGCAAGAGGCGACTAAAGGGATCGGGTGGTCAGGCTCGCTGACTTGGTTGATGTATGTCATCGTATCCCAACTGCGTGGATCGATGCTCATGATTTCAATCACTGGATTGTCTGGTCCAGACTTGATTGTTTACGGACCGCCGTCATATAGCTGGAATATTGCTGAGTGCGGCGTTAAACAACAAACAAACAAAAGGAACAAAAACTTCTTTTCTAGTTATTGTTGGTAAGCGTGTTTAAATGCAGTGAGTAGATATAAAACAAAACGAGTATCAAACAGAATTATTTCAGTAATAGAATAATAGCTTTCCAGTTCAAATGTTATACTTTTGAACCCACGTGTTATAGGTTTGAACAAATTTAATATTTCCAGAATAAGCCGAGGATGTGACAGATGTGCTGACATTTTCAACTGGTGCAGATAGAGTAACCCCACTTGGTCTTCGACCGCAAACAACCCTTACGTTTCACCAGAGTGACCCACTTTCAGAACTTAAGAACTTTCCGTCCGCCAACACATGTTCAAACATAGTATCTCTGCCGATGATTGCAGATTATGATGTGTTCCAAAGGAACATAATTGCAGCAATGAAAGCATACCTCTTCACCTCAGAGTGGTGCACGGCTCCGTACTTGTATGCGATCTGTAGGATGAATGATTCTTTTACATTAAACATACTTCAACATGCACATAAGTAATTTAAGAATCTCCGCGTCCACGTACACATTCATCAAATTAACATTGCCCTGAGCCGTGAACAACTTAAGTACAACAATAGATACTCAATTAAGGAGTCATATATACTGAGTCAAATTAAAAACTTCACATTTTTAAAAGTAATCCCATATGTGATATACAACGGACAAATGTATCAGAGAACGTAATTTTTAATCATTAATGTCCAAAGAAAGATTTTAATTAACGGTGGTATCCATAATTTGTTCCAAGCACCTACGGTATTCGGTAATAACATCAACAGTTTAAATCATAAGTCCCAAGCACGAGAATCTGACGGCACACAAGTTCAGTAGCGTGTATGGCCACCATGTGCGTTGACAACAGCCACACAACGCCTCCGCATGGACCTTGTGATGCTTGTGAACAAATGATTGGGAAGACGACGCCGTTGTTGCTGCAAAATGATGCAAAGATCTTGCAAATTCTGTGGTTGGTTCTGGAGAGTGCGCAGACTTTAAGGAGCGTAAATGGACACAAATGTCATGCCTGCAGTGTCAGCAATCCCTTTGCAGAAAATCAAAACTGTATAGTGAAGTGTATCAGATAAAAACTTACAGTTTTCAGAGAGCTGTGAAACACGACTGCCCACGACAGCTGACCACATAACACGTGTTTTAACACTAGACAGGCATGCAGGTCAAGGGCTTCCTGAGTGACAATGGTACATCAGGCATACTACATCTTGCACGTGATCCGAGGTCACGTGCTTGAGAGCTTGTTTGGGAGCTTCATTTCTTCGGACACGTCCTTGCCACATAAATCACTTACTTTCTCTGCCAAACACATAAAATTCCATAAAATTTGGAAATTGATTTCATCTGCAAATGTAAGTGACCTTGTTAAATAAATGTATACAGTATTGTGAGGTAATGTTTCATGCTTCGCAAAAGGGATCAGGATTAAGGATCAATTCTAAGGGTGGTGTTTTGACGGAAATGGCAACGAATATCGATCACAAAATGGTTTATAGCAACATGTTGTCATGAATACAGTTTTTTCAAACCATTTTTATAATGTTATATTTCACTTTTATTGTCGGTTATTTCAATGAGGAAATAGCTTAAATTGTTCCGATTCTGGTTACCATAGAACATTTCTCTAACAGTTTCATAAACATTTAATTTGTATGCAAAAGATATGCCTTCGTTTAATCTTTTAATGTCATCATCGCGGCAGTCAGGTTTGCTGCCTACAACACCCCAAACATCCGATATCAAACTGCCGTATTTCCTCTATTTGACGCTATGCCGTCTATTAATTTCGCGAGAGCCCTTGACTCAGCGTGTATTAGAGACCTGGATGGTGTATTAGAGGAAATAAAGATTCGTTTCACAGTTTATATGGGGTAGATCGATCGATCGTCAGCCATTTTTTATGAA